TGTTTTATATAAAGACATTATAAATGTTAACAAGATCACATAAGTGTTAAAGTGCATATTGTCTTGGTATACAGTTGGTTAAGGTTTTTCTTTAAACAGCATTTTGGGGGTGTCATTCTATTTTTTCCCTATTTAGAAAGAACAGACTACAAAAAATACAACAATCTGCGGCATGCGGTGGAAAAAATGTCACAATCATTCTTCGAATTTCCTCTTACATCTATATTCCTAATGAAAAGGGTGAAGATAACGAACAGATTGCAGAGATGAATATTTTGGTCTTTATTGTTGGCCCGAAAAATAAACAATATTCCGATGGTATATATCCACAAGATATATAGTACTTTATTTCAATATTTACACTTACTTGAGAATGATTTCCTTTACTGACGATTAAAAAAAATATTGATGTGATTGCTTTGTAGTTTTCACTCGTGATTTTTTATCGATATTTCTTCTATTAATTTTATTAATCATTTTATCCTTTAATTAAAAGATATCGATAAAAACGTTAAGTTGACCTTTTTTACATTTTAGTATAAATATTTACAGTAGTTGCACTCAAAAGTAGGCAAGAAATGCGTAACGTTGTGTTGACTCTAATTATAAGACATATTTCCTGTGTAATGCAATGTATGTATTATTCCCACTTATATGTATGTATTATTCCCACTTAGCCAACATTTTGAGAATTCCTATTTCCACATAGCCAACATTTGATTTTTATACCTGAGTGATCAGAAAAGTATAGTCTATTTTTATATACAAGTGTTAGTATTTAAGCTTTACCTGAGAATTACTTTCATTAGAAATAATAATGTGAAAATTACAGAAAATGAAGAAAATTTTGATTGAAACAATAAATTAAAAAGAGTACAAATAAGAATATTATATTCATATATATATATATATATATATATATATATATATATATATATATATATAAGGTGGACTTTGGCATAAAGTAGACCGCACTTATTTTGAGGCATTAAGTAGACATTTTTCATTTCTTTTATTTGAGACATTCTGATTCACACTTTCACCCAAATTTATTCTAATAGGCTTCAATAATGAAAATTTTACCCCCTCAGCCCTAAATGTTGCTTCCTAAAAAATATACGACATTTCTGGTCTCCTTAATATTTTGTAAATACATTGGAGGTTTAAGGTAGACATGTATATATTTTATGAGGATCCCGAAGGGTTAAAGTAGACCAAGTATATATAATGCATAAAGGAGACCAGAATATATATATATACGTGATTATGTAGACCATTTTCTTTTTTCTAATTATTTAAATAAAAAACTACACATGCATAAATGTACTTCTCATACCAGTATTTATTGGTCAATCTGCATTTATCTTAAGTAAAATATTAGGCACTTTAAAACCCAGTATGGTGATTCCTTATTTTAACTAGAAGGAACTAATAGGGTGATGTCTATTCGTAGACAAATTTTCATGTCCTGAATCTTATGGAAATATAGTAAATGACCGATAGTAATTGTTATGTTAAGAAAATATTTCATACACCACCAAAGAAACACATTGATTTAAAACGTCGTAGTCACATGATGACTTATGGTATAGAATCATCATCTAAGCCACAATCACCTGTACATGCTAGATATGACCTCTTGAAACTATAACCTTGTACTTTTCTAAAAAAAAATTGTATTTAGAATTTTATATATCCAATTTATGTCATATACTCTAAGCATAATGAACCCTAGGATAATATAATCTTTGGAAGTTATTTTATAGTGGTAAAAAATTGAACTTGATGCAGGGTTGTTATACATCCCCAAGTCACAATTATCCCTTCGCCTTGATTTACATCTAGTATAACAATAATGTGATTGCCCGCTTGGCGCAGTGGTCAAAGCATTTGCTCTAGAGTAGTGGAGTAAGGACTTGTTCCTTAAGTCATAGGTACAAATCCCACTGAAGGACATGGAAACCGGTTCTTCCAATGAAACCAAATTCCCTTGTTGCAGTATATGCTGGGACAAGAAAAGACCTCTCACTGCTCAAAAGTACAGGTCTATATTTGCAGCCCTCAACCAGCAAGTTGTGGTGTCTTAATACTAGTGAAAAATTCTTAAAGGATGTATAACAAACAAATAAACAAACAGAATTATGTGTTTATCTGAATATTTATTACATTTCTAAACCCTATGGCCTTGACCTGTATTAACCTGTGTTAGGATCATACTCTGAGGTTAAAAACAATTATTGGTAAGTATTTAATACTTTGATATACAGTGACTATGACCTTGTGCAAAAGACCATTACTACTGGGTCTAGAATATTTCTGGCCCCAAGCTACCTTTGTTTCAAAAGATGTCTACTCACAGAAGACACGTAGACTTCACAATTCCAGTAACTTCATTTGTTGTTGTATAAAAATGTGAATATTTCCCCATGCAAAAAAAGTTTGTAAAACAACCCCTTTTCTTCTCATGTCTAAGATCTCTATCCTAAATACACATTTGTCACAGTCACTGTCTACTGAATTCATAAATCTAAAGGTAGTTCATACAGTCTTATTTTAATTCATATTCTTGTGTCTTTAACATCATTAAACATATAATTTTTCCATGTTTGAATAGACAATAAAAATTGGAAACAATAAATACAATGAATTAGATTTTTTATAACTGTAACAAATAATGCAAATATGTGCAAGTCATGTAAAATTTCATTTTATTTGTAAATGTGTATTACATTGGTGACATTTGTATACTGTTCAATATATGCATAAGGACTTCTATTATTATCAATCTTCACAACATTAGTTTTGTATAAAGTAATAAATAACTAGTATTTTGTACACAAAAATAACATCAATAAAAATAACAATCTTTTACATATCTATAAATATACATAAGAGGAATAAAACACTATTTTGAAATAATCATTACATTTTCATTTCTTGTCAATAAAAAAAAATGAATAGCATTATTAAACTATTACATGTTTTAAACCACAAATTTGTGTTCTAAAAATGCATTAGATACAAAGTGAGATGCATTGATTAACTGTTCATTGTAAATTGAAATGAAGTTATTACTTATAAAAATACTTTGCATTAAAAAGCAAATCTTAACATAGTTTATTTGATGAGAATATTCCCTCCAACAATAAACTGGCAAGCTGTAATACAGACTCTGAAATACCTATACCACCTGTTTCAAATAGTACAGTTTGCATTTCATCCATGAGATTATTGACCTTGAAAAATTATAAATGTTTTCTTCTCTTTGAAATGAACATGTGTGCTATGAAAGGGATATACTAAATAATGTTATTACAAGACATACAAGTAATTTTTATCTTGATAAAAAATAGTGACCTTCTCATGTCAATTAAGAGAACCATTTCACACAATATGTGCTAGAATCTCATCTACAAGGTGTTGGCAGACAGGCTACCATACTAATACATCCCTATAAATGAGTTGCAAATATAAAAGAAGTACCTGAAAGTCATTCAGAAAAATTTTTAAAAAGCTGGCTTAAAGATGCTACATTTGTCAGCTGAAATGCATCTTTCACAATACATTCCTAGCATATAATTTTGTGCATATTATATGGTATAATGTTTTTGTTGTTGTTGTTTACAGAGCAAAAATAAAAAGTATATCCATGTACAAATGTAAAAAAGGGCAAAACTAGAAATATGTCCATAGGACATGAATGCCCCGCTGAGGGTATATTAATTTTTATTTGCTTGTTTATTGTTTAACATCCCTCTCGAGAATTTTTCACTCATATGGAGATGCCACCACTTGCCGGTGGAGAGCTGCAAATTTTGACCTATACTCAGCACTAAGGGCCATTAAGCAGTGAGGGATCTTTTTATGCCAGCACCTACTGTGACATGGGACCTCGGTTTATACAATCTCCACGTCCCACAGTGGGATTCGAACCAGCGACATAAGGATCAACTCCTTACTCCGCAACTCTAGAGCTTTAACCACTGCACCATGTGGGCATATTAGTAATGCAACATAAAAATATTTTTAGTGTATGAAATTTGATGAGAATATCTTAAAATAGTTTCTTTAACATTGAAATCGAAAAAGTTGGATATAGATGATAAATTCCCACCAAACTCTGTTAAGTGCATAAGCTCACATAAAATTATATTTAATGGTTTCTTTAAAACTAAGCAAAATGCAAATTTAAGAAAAGTGAGGTCCAGGTCACAGGAAAGTTCAAGGTCATACATTTTTGATGCAGTTGAATAGTTCTCACTAATACGCATAAGCAAAATAAGTTTGATAAAAATATTTTGAATGGAAACCGTTTAATTAACACTGAGCTAATCACCATTTCAAGAAAAATGAAGTCAAGGTCAAACGAAATGTCAAGGTCAAAAATGTTGATACAGTCAAATACCTTACATCAGTCTGTATCAGAATATGAAGTTTGACACTAATTTAGAAAAAGTGAGGTGAAGGTCAAAGGAAAAATCAAGATCAAAAAATGTTGATGCAGTTGAATAGCTCTCATCAGTATGTATCAGCAAATGAAGTTTGATTACGCTATCCTGAATGGTTTCTTTAAAACTGAGCGAAACACTTATTTAAGATAAGTACGGTCAAGGTCAAAGGAAAGGTCAAGGTAAAAAAAATGTTGATTCAGTATGTATCAGCATATGAAGTTTGATTACACTATCTTGAATGGTTTCTTTAAAACTGAGCTAAACACTAATTTAAGAAAAGTGAGGTCAAAGTTAAAGGAAAGGTCAAGGTACGTTGATGAAATTGAATACCTCTTATCAAATTGTATCAGCATATGAAGATTGATAAAAATATCTTGAATAGTTTCTTTGAAACTTAGTTTTGAACTGAGCTAAAAGCAAAGCGGAATGGAAGGACAGACAGAAGGTTGAAAGGACGGAAGACGGACATGACAAACTCTATATGCCCCAGCCATATTCATGGCAGGGCAGAAAAATTTCTAGTGTACTGAATTCAAAACTGCAGTAATTGATAATTTTTTTTTTAATATAAATTCTATATCAAAAAACATATACAAACTTTTTTGATAATTTATTCTATTCAAAGCAATAAGAAATGCATCTGTCTGCACTGCTTAAAATTGATAAGAAGGTTATGACATAACTAAAATAATGACCATGTCCACATTAAATTTAAAATATAATGAGTGACAATTCACTTCACCTTTTCTTCATTCCATTGACTTTTCTTTCTTTAAAAAATTGTGCTTGTGTACTACTCCATCTCTAAAAAATAACATACAAATGAAAGTTTATGGCACTCAATGAACTCTCTCATCCCTTCCTTTACTGTTCAAGAAAAAAAAATGCATACATGTACCAAAAGCATATTTTAAATATGTGACTAGACTTTATATTTTCATACATAATGTCACCAACTTTATAAAGAATTGTGAATGCATTTTAAAGGTGAGCACATGTGAATTGAATTAAAAGTACCAGTATTTTGCAATACGTAGTATTGCGAGTATCTCACAATTATCTAACTTACAACCGCTCTTTAATTAGCATGGGAGTCAAGGAAGCTCTAAATCTCACAAGATTTCTGGGGCATAACATTACAGTGGTGACAATGGAATGATTCAAACAATCATTATGCTGAAACTACAATGTATTGCCAAGAGTTGAACTCCAAATAGTAGATTTGTCAAGTAAGGAAAATTTAGAGTATTTTATCAACTTTCAAAAGTAACGATTTTCATTTAGAATTTAATAAGAAAAGTCCGCTTAGTAAAAAGTATCATAAAAAATGCAACATACAGGATTAGCTCCTCTCAAAAATTTATTAGGCTGGTTCAGTGCATGTTTAGCAAGATATTTCTCTAGGATTTCTTTCTTATCAGTCCTTATAAATTCCACAATGATCGATCATGCATTGCATTCAATAGTACACTGCCCCCATCCAACAGACGTTTCCTACCTCCGTGAAAGAGTTCCGCTAATTTAAGTAATCGTGATATCAAGTATTGTTGTTTATCCTTAAACGTATGTCAATAAAAAAAAATTTATTTCGAACAGATCAATGCTTAAGTTTTGAGATTATCACCCTTGGTATGCTTTTTTGTTTTTTTGTATGAACGAGAGATTTGTTTATTGACAGCTGCTTTTTCATTAAAAGTGGAACTCAAAAACTAACTTATCTTGTCATTTGCAAAATTATTTGTAAAAAACACTGATTGTACACACAAGTACTCTGAAGTTGATATTAAAAAGATTCTTGAGTTTCTGATTGACAATATCCATGTGGTTTTTAGAGACAAGGTCTTCCAAAAATCTCTTGGAATTTCCATAGGTACCAATTGTGCTCCGTTATTATCAAACCTATTTTTGTATTCATACAAAGCAGAATTTATTTAAAATCTTATACATGAGAAGAAGAAAATACATGCTGTCGCCTTTAACATTTAGATATATTGACGAAGTACCATATTGTCAGGTGTAAAGGCCGTAGTCTTGTAATAGACACACCCCCAAATTTGGGGGGAAAATCCTGAGAGAAATGCAGTTCCTATGGATAAAACGCTACCCCAAAAATGCGGATGTATCTCTTATTTTCACAGCACAACTATTCCAAAGAAAAAGTTTAAAAAGTTAAAATATTCATATTATTTCAAAAACGAAAGTAGGATACAACTTCTAATTTTCTTGGAAAATTCAGTTTACATATAAGCTTTATTTATAAGTATTTAAGTATAGTCTGTATTTTAATTGTTATTTGATTGGTATAAATTAAAAATTAAGTCCTGTATTTTTTTTCCCTATAACCCTAAGCATTTTACAATATTGTGCTGAAAATTCATTCCAAGCAGGTGTCTGTGTTTACGTAAACAAATCATCCCAAGCGTAATTAATGTCACACTTATGTATACAAGTGATACCAGGTAACTAAAAAGGTGTGTAAAATATTTATCATTAAATAAACTTTACTGATTACAAGTGTATTGTTTAAAATGGCACTTGTTTCAAAACCAAATGGCCGGAAATTGTTATATAAATAAATATGACCTACATTAGGGTCGAGAGGAGTTAAATTTGGCAGTGATGATATCCAAGTTAGAAAAAGACAAGAAAACATTGATGTAACCATCAATTGTCGCCCGGGAAATTAATAAAGTAAACAATGGAAATGAGTCTTGATCATCAAACCGCTTCGATATGTGTGACAAAGGCATGCATCTAAATGATGGAGACGATAGTCGAGAATATTTTGAAAACTTATAGTCGGATGAAATTCGAACAAAAAACGATACCCTTTTAAACTTTATCAATTCCTCAAGTAAATGTTGGCTGCATAAAATATAAATTGAAACCAGACACATGCATCACCTATTTTCAAAAATGTCTTTCACTTTAAGAATATAAAACACGAACTGTGTAAAGTACGTTTTTACGTTTTTATGCGATAAGTAAAATTCGATGTTCTAAAAAAAGGGACCTGTCGTTTTTTCGATAGTAAATGATAAGCAACTTTATGTATTAAATATGAAAAACATATATATTTTATAGATTCACTTTATGGAAGTAAATATATTGTGTATCTCGTAATTTATAAAGGGAAAGAACATTCTGATAAAAAATGTTTTTAATGTTTAGAAAACCTTTAATTCTGAATAACTTCTCCCACCTCAATCCCCATATACCAACACTTAAACTTATATGTATAGAGCAGCCCGGTCCTCCGGGCTGCAATAATTTATTTTAAATATACATATATATATATTTAATTTTGAATAATATTTTAATGGAAATATCTTTTTATATTTCTGTTTGTTGATTTATTTATCAGCGATCTGTCATACGTGACTATCATTCAAGAATTGGGGAATAATATGTAATAAACTTGTGGTAACAGTGAAAATCACTCATAAGAGTTAAGAAAAAATGTCCAGAAAAAAGGGGTTGAATTTAGTTCCTATGTAATGCATGCACCCACACTTTTGAACAATTTTTCTGAAAAAAAAAGTGCGTCCCATACACATGACTTTATGGTATTAATTATTTCCATTCATATTTCAACACAATTATCCCAATGAGCTTGATAATTTAAAGATACCACAGAGTCCAGGGATCGACATTAACCGTTGTCCGATTGCCCGGGGCAAGTTAATTCCCAGTTAAGGCAAGTGAAAATGCCAATGTACTTGTCCGATTGGGCAAGTGAATATTTCAGATAAAAACTTTTTTTTTTTTTTTTCATATCTTGCATTAGTTTTAAACAAAACAATAACACTTTCTGCCAAGAACATATCAAAAATAGTTTCTTAAACAAGAATAGTTTGTTTTTTCACTCAGAGAACACCAGTTATTCTCGGCAAACAATGTACTCTGATCAGGATATGTATGTTTCAAAACATAACAACTGTTTTCCTTTAGTGTGGCCTCAGTTTTCCAGAGAAAAAAATCAAAATAATATATATATATTTAAAATATGAATTTTATTTTAAAGAAAATATATACTGCTGCATGGCAGTGCAAGTTTTCAGGATGAATGAAAGGACAGTGGTATACATGTACAGAATTTACAATTGTAGGATAACTGACACATCAACATTTTTTCTTGGCAGTTAACTTGCCAATAGAAAGTACTTTATTGCACATAAATTAAATAACCTGTAGTTTCTTCTTTCTAAGGTTTGGGCAACCAAGTTTTGCATTTGGACAAGTCAAAATTTGTTGTCCCAAAGGACAAGTGAATATGAAAGTTAAAGTCTATCCCTGGAGTCTGACACATCTGTTTCATATTTTGATAATTTTCTATAAAAAGAGGTTAATACCTAACAACAAACCTTTATGACTAACTTTTCAATCATTAACTTCCCTTACTTATGCAGCAATATACCCTCATCACCTGCATACAGGGTTCATATCTCTCTGTTGATTCGATACGCAAGAGCATGCTCTACCTATGAACAATTTCTAAAACAAAGTAAGTTATTGACAAACAAGTTGATGAAACAAGAATATCATCAGTCTTGTTTAAAGTCATCATTACAATAGTTATATGGTCGATACAATGACCTTGATGCTTGTCAGAAAATACAATCTATCATTAAGTCAAGTGCTGATTGACGTTTTAAATCTAATTTCCAGGCCATTATTTACACACTGAATTGCATACAGATTTTTCTAATTTTTCCCGGATCATGACAGGAAGCACACCACGCGTGTGACTGGTCAGCAGGGGATGGTCACTCCTCCATGGCACCTGATCCCACCTCTGATGTTTTAGAGGTCCGTATTGTTCTGCTCCTGAATTGTATTGTTTGAACGAACTTTTGAGCTTTAATACTGTTTGTTATCTCCATATATTTCATAAACCTGCTAATAGGACATGTTCAATATACTGGTCTATAACTTTATTTGGATGCACTAATCAGCTCAAAATTTAAATAATAAATACCAAAAATATCTGGGAAAAAAAAACACACTGGAAAAATCTTATAATAATACGAAGAAAGAAAAATGGATCTCTAATATATAGGCATCTGATCACTGCACGTCAGGATTCTAAATGAAACACTGACTCTTTCCCCTCGTAATAATTTTAAAGATTCCACTATTTTTTTTTAGAATAAATATGTACAATCTAGGAAGTGTCTTCTCTCAAAGGGATTGATGATTCATTTGTTTTCAATCATCCTAATTAAAACTAGATTTTATAAAACGAAATATGGAGACAATGAATAGTATTTAAGCTCAAAAGTCCATTCAAATTATGATTTGAGCAGTGCAACCTCTACCTCAAAAACATCCGAGGTGGGATCAGGTGCCTTAGAGGAGTGAGTATCCACTGCCGACTGTCACTCTCACTGCCAGACTCCAGATGATTCTTCATTAAACCTTGGCTGTAACTGTAGGTAACTTCATATGTGTCTCCACCTATCATTAGTGATACAACTGCCTGTTTACTGCTTAGAGAAAAGTAACACTTAGAAAAGGATAATAAACAAGAATCTGATATACCATGAAAATCCTTAAGAGCAGTAAGGAAACACTTAAAACATTACTTTCCAAGAAACATGCATTTAATATTACATGTACATAATTAATTTATAAAATTTTAATTAGGGATGGAAATAAATAATATCCAAACATGAAACAGATGTATCAGACTCTGTGGTACCTTTTATTTCAAGCTCACTGGGGTATAATATATATAGTTGACATATGAATGGAAATAACTGTTGTTAATTGATAATATATCATCGATATATCTCACTGTCGAGTTCAAGACCACAACAAGTGTTTTCTTCTTCTCATGTGTAAGATTTTGAATAAATTCTGCTTCATATGAATATAAAAAGAGGTCTGCTAGCCTAACAACAAGTTGCAATTGGTACCCATGGGAATTCTGACAGATTATTGGAAGACCTGGTCTCCAAAAACTACATATATATTGTCAATCAGAGACTCAAGCATCCAAAAACCTGTATTACTAAAGTATAGCTCAATATGATCACCAAAATCATCATTGCTTGACATAATATGCATGTATAATCTTTCTTTAATATTAATTACATTTTAAAAGGCCCTAATTAAGCCATCATTTTGACATTTATTTAATCATGATTGTGTATACTTTATCAACAATCTCTGCCACTTTCATGCGGATATGGCTTCTTTTTGTGTTTCTCTTGTTGAAGAGCTACAATCTCCAAACTTGTGTATTGAGTATAATAACTTTCATCCTTCTCATATTGGCCTAGGTGAAAACAGATAATACTACAGGTCACTTACTCAGAAGGATTACTTGATTTTGTTGATCATGTTGATTGATGGTAGTCTGCACAGTAGCGCTAGCAGTTTCTTTTTTACCATTTCACTGTGAAAAAAAAATGTGGAACTTATTAAATATTAAAAATATTTACCACTACATTAGCATTGGTGATATGGTCATTGCTCTTTTTTGTAACAAATCAATTAAACACTGCACCTTTATGAATTATATTGCATGTACTTTCGATCAATCTATTTAAAAAACATCAGATTAATTACCAATAGGTTCTTGAATTTTTAGTTTCTGTTGCATTGGGCTGAAATTACGAGAGAAACTTTATTTTGAACAAGCATTTATATGTACAGTATTGTACTTGCATACTTAAATACCTACTATAATTAAGATTAAACAAGCATTTTGAGAGTATTGCATTAGCAATACTAGTCCCCTACCGGCAAGTGTAATCTGGTTCCCACTAAAAATTGAATTGCCACAATTCCATTAAAAATCATTGATTAAGAAGCATAACAAAATGCAAACTTGAACTGTAACTCATCAAGATACACTTACATACCAAAACTCAGCTCAATAACTGCAAGTGTTTAGAAAAAAGTGCGGAAAACAAATGGGACAGACTGAAAGAGGGACAGACAGACAGATGGACAGACTCAGAGGAAACCTATAATTCCCTGGTTTCACCGGTAGGGGACTAATAAAAAAGTGGGAAAAAGCCACCCTGTTAAGCCCTACTTTCGTCTCCCATGGTGAGCAGTGGAAAAAGGTCTTATGCTTGGATATGTTGTACATGTACTTTGTATCAATCTGTACATGCATAATCCATTGGCTAATGAAAGAGGCAATGTATTCGTAATGTAAACTTTTAAATGTAGTGGTAATGTGTACATTTTTTGCAGCGGTAATGAGTATGTAGCAGTAAATAATTACCATTTTGAAAATGTAGCGGTAATGATATTCACCTGGATAAAGAAATGGTCTATCTATTCCAATCACATTTTTGACAAGATAGGGCACTTCTTATTTGCTGTACATATAATTGTTTTCATTTTCACACTGCTTTTTGGGAAGATTGGGAAAATAAAGACCTTGTAGGAAATTTTGGAATAACCATTATACGTACTTTAAAATCATATATATTGGGTTTCCGGTCTTCGTTATCAACTAAATTTGTTTTATAAAACAGAGGAATATGAATAGCAAGTTAAGTTATTACCGGTATATATCCAGCTATATTTTCTTTAATTTTTGGGAGAAATTACTATTGGGAAAATTAACACATTTATTGGGAAAAAAGGCACCTTTTTTTGAATTGGGAGTGGGGCCCTTGAACGGCCCCAATTATAGACAATTGAGAGCCCTGTTTCATATTTGAGAGGTCGATTTATAACCTTCGTTCTTCATTTTTTTAAGCTTTGGGTGTGTGTTGATTACAACACATATGTTAAGTGACTTATCTTTAAGTTATTGTCAAAGAAATTTCAAGTCTGTTAAAATCTTAATGTTTAAATAACTTGTGCCCTGTACGAAATAAGATTTTGTAGCAAATAATCTTTACAACCGAGCTGCAATTTTCCCCAAGTTATCAGGCTGAAAAAGGGGGTGCATATTTAAACCAATGCATATTATATTCGGCAAGATATGGTAACTGCTTGATTGTCACATTTCAGTTTGAAACATGTTACAAGTTTTATTTCAAAAAATGAAAATATTATTGAAAAAGTAAATACAAATACTCATTGACAAAAACTATTTCCTAGGGATGGCAATTTCTAACCGGTTAACTGATTACTCGGTTGGAACGATGGCAATCGGTTAGAAAATCTGCAATCGATTAGTCGTAAAAAAATTATAATATATGTAAAACTGAAGGCAATGTACTAAAATTCATTTTCAAAATAGAAATTCCTACCTAAACATTTAATTTAGCGTTTTCATTTATTTATTTAGGCTGATTGGGAGGTCATTATGGCTCTCCAGATTAAAATTGTGGGGTAATTGGTCAGTCTGAGATATGTTAATTACTGTTAAAACATCATGTCGTTACCCCGACTGTCCTCTAATTCTTTAATGATAATAATCACCGTTGAGCACCATGAATTGGTGTGTGTGTATCTTTTGCAGTTATCTATCACATTAGATTATAATACAAACATTGTAAATTAAGGGGATGAAGGACACATGGTTACATGACTCTTTTTATTTACGTCATAATATCCGTCTATATAAGACCAAAACGTGTAAAGCATCAGTTCTTGTATAATTTTTTGACATTTTTTTTTAACTTAAATTGCCATCTTATATAAAAAAGTAAAAAGTTTTAACATTCATGTAAACATTAACAAATTATGAAAAAGATTGATCCACTTCTCTGTTTCCCTAAACTGCGCGTCCATAAGTCGGTGACGTCATACACGATCTATTAGTACAGCAAGATCATACTCGGTGAATACAGGGGCGTTATTATTATGTAAAATCAGGTCATAATCAGTATGTGATGAAATATTTTGAGAAACGGGGAACATAAAAATTATGATTGCATGGCTGATGACAGAAATCTTATGTAGGCATATCTTATTTCGCTTATTTAGCTTACGTGTGACGTCATAGTTGGTTTTTCCCGTACTCAAGAAATGTAAATATGACACGTTTTGTCATGCTTATGTCCTCTGTAATGATTGAGGTCAGCTTCACCATTCAAAATTTTTAAAGTTAACCAATAATTTGAAGGACTTGCATTTCAACATAAATTTAAAAATATTGAATGATAGAATTTTTTGTAAATTATGTTTTTTTTTTGTTGCTTAAGTTGTCTCAAAAAGTACGTAATTTTCCCTATCCAGATGCAGTGTGACAGGATAAAATTGCTTTTTCGAATTTTAAACCTATTCATACTCTGAAATATTTTAAGAGATACATGTCCACTTGCATATTTTTTTTATATATGCTTAAAAAATCCCATCATGGACAGAGTATTGGGCCCGGAAACATGAAGAATTAAAACTCCACTTAGATACTGCAGGGCATAGTATTTGTCAATCAATATCTCTAAAATAAGGTCAGAAACCTACTGATATAACTGCTTTAAGATATGTGGGACATACTAAATTAGAAATATACAAAATAGGAAAAAAATTGAATGACAAGGATTTTTTTGAGCTCAAGGTCCTTCTTCCCCTTAAGTGATACAATTTAGACTTAGTTTTGATTATGGTGATAATGAAGAATGAACTTGTGTGACATCCGCTCATGAAAATTATCCTTCGTCCTCTTACGTACATTCATAGCTAAATATGCAGTGTCCAGCGCATGCGCAGATACTGACCACTAATTTACAGAAACAATAAAAGTTTTCCCGCCACTACCCATCATAGTTAATTCAGTGCTCGCGTAGTATAGACCATCAACTTACGTAATTCAGTGTGTTTGCGTTTTGTTTCACAGATTCGTTTATTTTAACCGTTTTTTCTTGTGGAAGTTATGGATAACTCTGTTAAGGAACAATTTATTATAATCGAACAAGTAAAGGAAGTTGAACAGGACACCTTATCAAATTCCAGCGTCTCTTACCAGCATCAGAAGATGGCGGGGCACGCTGACCAAGCTATCACCAACTCTAATCTCCGCATTGCGGATCAAGAGTTTGAACACCAAACGAGTGTTTCTCATCCAAGATATCTCAGGCATGGTTCATGGTTTTCTGAATTTTTTCTTGTCTATTGAAAAAAAATATGCGCGTAGTTTTATGATCAAGAAAGACAAATAGAATGATTTTGACCTCTAACAACTTTTTTAAAGACTTCTTGTGCATAGGAATAGAGGTACTTGAAAAAAGTCAAGAAAATGACATTGTGTAGTTTGATACAATTAACCGGTTAATTGGTCGGAACATTTTGCGGTTAACCGATTTGCAATTCTGTATTCGATTGCCATCCCTACTACAGTGGCTGCAACGTTATTGTTGACAAAAGAATCATGTAGAATCGTTTGTGTAACATGCGTGATCGTTCGTGTAACGTGCGAGATCGTGCGTGTATCAGACTCAATCGTTTGCGGTTTTAATCATGCGTGATCGTGCGTTAAGAAACGTGTAAATTTTGTTTTGTAAGTTTTTATTGGAATGTTTTTGTTATACAAGCATTTCACTTGTCTGTTTTTTTTTTCAATCTAAATTAAAAAGAAATGAAGCGCGATTTACATAACTGAAAACAGAATGAACTAATTATCGCTTGGAAATAAACAATATAGTAAGTCGTACAATATTGTGTTCTCGTCAAATAGCATGATTTTTTTTCTGATAAACCGTACTTAGATGTTTGATTTTTTTCTCTGATGTTAATTATATTTATTGCTAATTATGGTCAAGATATTTTTAAAATCAATAGATCAAAAATAAACATTTTTACAAATAAATAATTCTCAATGCTTACATAAGTATTTAGTCGGTGAATGTACATTTACACAACATGATTCTCGGGGTTTCGTTTATCAGTGTTATCTCTGGAGGTTACTTTTGATTATTTTTTTTAATTTCTGCAAATAAATGATTTGTAAAATATTTGTTGATTTTAGAGATTCACAAATTGAAATGTGGATATAACTTATAATTTAATTCATTTTCATGCCATTTTTTTCAAACTTATCCCTTTCTGCATATTATGAAATCCAATTCAATCAAAACTCACGGTCCACCTACATGTACATCTTCTGATAGAACGAGAAAAAAACAAGCAGTTTTCTAAGGTCAGAGAATTACATAAATAATTTTTTGTAATCTAAAATAATTCATAAATCTTACATGTATTTAGTTCCAGAAATATCCATTTCTATTTTTTTTTTTTCATTTTTCAAAGTCGATGAAATAAAATCAATCATTATTTGAAATCTAAGATAAGTATTAAGCCTTATTTCTTTTTGAAAATATCCATTCCTAAAGAATTTGAACTATTTTGCGTTAAGAATCGTGCGTTTCCGTTAGCAATTGTGTAAGATTGTGTAACGTGTAGAATCGTGTGTGTGAAGGATCGTTCGTGTAACAGATTTTATCGTGTGTGAATCGTGCGGAATCGTTCATCTAACGTGATCGTTCGTGTAAGTTGTCAACAATAACGTTGCAGCTACTGTTTCTACTAAGTGGTTAGTATGTAAATTGTAACTGGTTACAAAACTGGTTATGAAAATTTTAACTGGTTATGATCTTTCTTAATAGTTAATAAACCAGTTAATCATTGCCATCCTTATTCCAAAGATACTTTGTGACAAGTTTGGTTTAAACTTGTCCAGTAGTTCTTGAGAAGAAGTTGAAAAATGTGAAAAGTTTATGCATGACCCAAGCCCTTGCTTATGCAAAAACATCCAAAAACAGATAGAAATATGTTACCATGGTTACCTAGGTAATTCAGGTAACTTATATCAAACCACACATTGTCATATAAATAAGACAAAGACTAAGTGCTTTTCAAGGGTCCAGATCAGCATTCAGTCAGTATCAAAGTATCATGGTCTTTAGAGTTTTGTATATGCCTTTTGTCTTCAATGGTAACCTGTACTTATACATGTACTTAAATATGGCCATTGAGGAGACCACTTATAATTAGGCATAAAGTAGACCAGTGAGAAAAATTGAGTAAATTGAATTAACCCTTGATATCAAGTATATACAGTATATAAATATACCATTCTAATGATCTTATTCACTATATGCATCAATACCCTGTATTATATTATACTGCATATCAAATTAGAACTTATTTATTGTGTCACAACTGAAGTGTTGCTGGACTGAAAGACATAAAGATGGACAATATGTGAATCCTATAGAGCTTTATCATTTCATGCAGGCCCTAATTAACATTCAATCAGTGATAAAGTACCTTGCACTTAGATTTTTATATTTACCTTTGTCTGCTATAGCAACCTGTACTTATACATATGTTATACTTAAATATGGCCATTGAGGAGACCACTTATAATTGGGCATAAAGTAGACCACTGAGAAAAATTGTTGATATCAAGTATATACAGTATATAAATACACCATTCTAATGATCTCATTTACTGTATGCATTAATACCCTGTATAGTATTACACTGCATAAACTAAAACTTGTTTATTGTGTCACAACTGAAGTGTTAATTGCTGGCTGAAAGACATATAAAGATGGACAATGTGAATCCTATATAGCTTTAACATTTCATGCAGGCCCTAATTAACATTCAATCAGTGATAAAGTACCTTGCACTTTAGATTTTTTATATTTACCTTTTGTCTGCTATAGCAACCTAGTTCTTATACTTAAATATGGCAATTATGGAAACTGCTGATAATTGGGCATAAAGTAAACCACATAGAAAAAATTAATATACTTAATGGGAAAATTTTACTGTACTCACTGTTAATAGCAAGTACATTTATATGCATGTATTATAGATATATACAGTGGTGCCTTGTTTATCCGGACGCCTCTTTGGCTTAAGTTTGTTAAAAATAATATTGATTAATTTTGAACTGTTTCTTATTTGGGCTAGTAATTTTTTCCTAATCAGTAGCCCCTGGGCTAGTGGGATTTCCAGGAAAATTTCAACCCCTCAAGATAAGTATGAAAAAGTCATTTCTTGAAAAATTACCATCCGGATAAACGAGTCATTTTTCAATGAACTATTACGTTTTGTAGTAGAAATCGACCGTTCGGATGTGGAACACGAATTTCTGGATTAATGAGACAGAATGACATGGAAAAAAATCTATTCCCGGAAAATAGCATCTGGAAGGTGAAGTGTTCGGATAAACATGGCGCCACTGTATATACCATAAATGACTATGACCTATGGTACATATAGTCAGAGAAAAACAATCAATTAAAGCTGACCACATCTCATAAATAGGCATACACCATATTCGATTATATATCATCTACTATATCAGCACCAGGGTATACTCTTCGCATTTGTTACACCTGACTGCTTTATTGTCACAGGTATCGGAGTGGAATGGTGACACATGCTCATGCTGGTTATCTTGCATTGTCTTTGTTTATTTATTTTATTGCAGTTACGTGTACTTGTGTAGTTTGTATACTGCACTGACATGTGCGACTGTTGTAAGTTTCATTGGCATCTTTCTCTCCTGCCGTGAAAGAAGTACACAGTAATTTTTTGTTGCTACCCAGAGCTATGTAGCATACGTCAGTCTGTCTATACAGACAGGTGACAACAGATTACACTGAACAGTGACTAAGTGAGTGGCTTATATAGGAACCCTACAATATAGCGTGAATAAAGGAATATGGCAGAAAAATTCCTTTTACACAGTGTGTTCAGATTTAAAATCACTAACTTTAAAGCAAACTAATGGATTACATACCTTTTCCCATAATTCACTTCAAATTCCTACTCATCATGTACGGCTACTTCAGAATCTCACATGTATACATTCTTTGACTTTTCTATAGGAACATTATTTCCTACAATGTACAATCACATTTTAAAACATTCAAATATTACTTCCAATTGGACATAATTGGTAGTTCACAAGCTAGAAAGCTCACTCAGTAGTTGGATTGATTGTTTAATTGTATGTCGTTTTACATCCTGTTTAAGAATTTTTCACTAAAATAGAGATGTCACCATATAATGGTCAATAATCTTTTCAACAGTTTTTTTCTAAAGAGATTTCAGGCTGTCTTTACTGCAATTGTCAGTCTACATTACCACCCATTGTGGTATACTGATCCCGATTTGTTTTCATAGGATTTAAGTTTTAGTTTGTGTGATAACTGGATATCAAAAAGTTTCAAAGTAGAGTGTCATGAGCTCATCAATGCTAATTATCAAAACACTACTTCTAGAAAATCAAAACATTTAAGTTAAATTAACCATTCAAAATATTTTTTGAAAAGTAAAACAAAGGTCAAAGTCAAGTGAACTATAATGCTGGTATTTTTCATTATAATTTATGATAAATTGTGCACATGCTATTAATAGCATAGACTTACCTCTTTTAAATTATCAAAAATATGCTGAATATTGGCACTTTAAACTTTTTTATAAGTAGGTCAAAGGTAAGTTCAAGGGTCACAAGATTGGCAACCATGGTATTTAAAAAAAGTCAGAGTGCCAAGCAAAATATTAACCAAATATCAAAAACAATTAAACCTCTTACAATTCTTGAGATATAAGGTGTGACAGATGGACAGACAGACAGATGCCAGGTAAATTGATCCCTAGGTGTTGCACTGCTGTGCAGTCGACTCACAAAAAATGTTCTTCAGACTTATTTATCATTGGAATGACTAGTAAACACCAAACTGAACTTAACCTGCTTAAGTAAGCCAGTAGTGCCCAGTACAGAGCAACAAGTGCTGTGAACAGCGAGTGAAGTGTGACCGATTGATTGAGTGTTGTTTTATGTCCATTCGAGAATTATTTCACTCATAAAGAGTGAAGGATTAAATAATTACAATAAAATGTAAGGAGGCAAGTCTGCCTCACCATAACCTGGTTCTTTGTGGCCCTATTTTTAACCTTCATACCCATCTCCACTGGGAATTCATTTCCTCCTCCCCCAACAATCACTTCATGACTCCATAAGCAGCCAAAGGCTGTAATGGGCAACTAGTTCATTAACAGCTAGGGCTATCAGGAATTCAAAGTCACTGAAGTTCTTTTGGTTTTTATGATACTATCAAACTATCAGTCTATCACTGAGTATCTGCATGCTTTAAAAGTTAGTATTTACCCCTGATTTGCTTTAATTAAAGCTTTTGTGTCTATTTTCTGCTAACAATTTATTTACAGTTTATAACTAATAAAGCAGCAAATATACCTTACCCCATGTTGCAGATTCTCTTCATCCAAGTAATTGATGTACATTGTACTTAATCTCTTCATTTGTTCATCTGGATCCTTTCACTGCATTCATACAGTACCAGTAACTGTTATATATGGATATATTTCTTTGTCAAAGCTGTCACTTTTTAGGCACAATTGCTAAGTTTGCATCTTTATCAGCATTTTTTATTAATGAAATGACAAATTCCATCAGACACACCTGCAAAAATGAAAACAAAATCTATTAATTTACATATAATCATGTCCATATTCTCTTGACTTCATTATTATATAATTGAACTGTTTTATACTGCACTGCAAATATAAAGGGCTGGGATAATACACTTTCGTCTACTATTCTATATCTAATATACTATATTAGGTATCACAATATTTATGCTACAATACAGATCACAATATCTTTAATCAGTTATAATTTTTTCATTTTATATTAAAATGAGACAAAGTTTGACACCATGCATATCCAAAGTCTCTAAAAATTTACAATTTTAGTCATGTATATGTGTTATGCAAGGGTGTATCTGTCAGTATTTCCAAAATTTATCAAGCATGACATTTAAATTGACACAAATATTTTGATTTCAGCTTTTCTTTTTCATGAAGTTCGACTTAAATATTCTTTGATAATTTTTAAATCAAAATAAAATCAAAAACTTTTAATTTCTTCATTTTATTTGCTTGGAAAATAATTATTTTTTTCTTTTGTATTTGTACGAGTATTTAGTTGAAACTAGTTCTACATGTATATTAGCTAATCAGTGAAAATCTGTATGTTTGATTTACATGTCTGCGTGTGCATTAGGCCAACATTTTTTTATATTCTGTTTTACGGGAGCGCCGACCCTAATTTGGGCTAAAAAGAAATAAAAATAAAAGTCCCCAATTCAACTTTTATTTTTATTTCTCCCGCCGATAGTTTATTTATAGTCACTGAAAAAATAAAAGAAATATAAATAACCTTTTTACAAGCCTTTCAAAATGCGATTTGTCATTGGCTGAGGTAAATATATTCATCCAATCACAGTATTCGAAGCGTGAATAGTCACTGCACAGCATAGCGCCAAAATGTCAGAATCGGAGGGTTTCACGTGTTTTTAAATAGTCAGTTTAAAAAGTGACGTGTCAATGTTATATATTAGAAAAAGTATAAATTTTAATGAAAGATTGAATGAAATAGACGAAACAGTAATCTTGATCAAATGTCATGCATAGGGCCACGTGGAAATCGATGTTCTGTCAACCGCTTGTTTTGAAAGGTTTTGAGTACGTATTATCTTTGACAATTGCTTCAATACATTGAAATACGTCTTGAAAATTTTTTTTAAACTTAATTTTAAGATAGAAATGTTTTCTTTTACAAGTAACGACAGAACACTAGAACACTGTAGAACTGGTAGAAAGTGGCGTGACTGAGGAAACTCGAGTCATAACTTTCACTCGTTTTATGACAAATATTGGAATTCAGAATTACCTACGAAAATATATCGGTATATATGCTTGATTGATACAAGAAATTATTTCCTTTTTTATCGCTTTATGGAATTTAGCGTGCTATGTACCAAATTAATGTACATTGATTGATCAGCGTATTCATATCAGCTGATGTAGTGTAGCTCTTGTTTATTATTATTATTTTTTTTTATAGTAAAACAACTTTTTTTTACCACTAGGGAAAAGTATTGTTATAAATGATACGCCCTTACAAATATTATTTCAATTCAAGACCTGGTTTCTTTTTTCATTCAAAAGTTGTGGATTAGAACCATCTTCAACAATTAAATTTTTAAATTCTGCAGTAAACAGAATATTGTCATGTGTATTTTACATGTGTATACTATGGGAAAGATGTGTATTTTCTACAATTATGTTGAAAGTTAGCATGCTCAGAAAGAAAAATATAAGGATAAAAAGATATATATACTACAGATTGAGGAAGTTTGAATATGTTTTCAATAGAGATATTGTGGTACGTTTTTTCCACCTACTTATATATTAATTGGAAGTGCGTTGAAAAAAAATATTATACAACTTTTCTTTTTATCATGTCTCGTGCACTTCTGTGAATTAATTTATTTTAGCTGATCCATTGAATGTCTCCCTGTATTTTCCCCATAACTTTGCCAGAACTAGTCCAAAATCCTCAGACCTTGTAATTTGCTGAATATCGAAAAATAAAAGATTCTGAAAAGTTTATGAGGGGTGTGACATAAGTCGTATAGGTTTACTGTGGTGACAATATGATATTTGACAACTGAGAGAAGACAATAGATTTGTATGTTTGATTTGCATTAATGTTACAAACTGCAAGCTTTATACTAGAAATGCACCCCTGCCCCAAATATCTAAGAGAAAGTTAAATTTAAAATAGTTCATTGATCCATTAACAGTACCAATTCTGTGTTTTGTGTACCTAAGTTTTTCAAATAACACTGTTTTTCTAACAAATTAAGGTCATACAAAAAAAATTCAAACCTTAATTAAAAATAAAAATTTTTATTGCATTTTTTCATTTTATTTTTATTTTTCTGACCGACTGCTTAAATTTCGAGCTTTTATTTTTATTTTTATTTCGACCCCCCGACTCAAATTTTTGAAAAAAATTCCCGTAAAACAGAAAATAAAATCAAAAGCCTGAAAGGCTTCAATGACGTCGAAGAAGAAAAACAATTTCAAAAGATCATTTTGAATTTGAAGATAGCAATAAGTCAAGTGAGTGACTCAGGAGAAATAATAAAAAAAATAGTTTTAAACAAAATATCACAATTACAGTCTGGGGCCTTATGTCATGGTCCGAATGGAGCAGGGTTCGAATTGACCAGACACCGTCGAACATGTTTCATGCTAAATTCTTTTCAGTCAGTTGAAGAACTATGAAGGATTTCATAAATTTATATAATATTTTTTCTAATTGCCAATGTCAAAGCGTTGTATTAGTGATTGCATCTAAACTACAACCAAGACTGTTCTGTTACAATTACGATGGAGTTACGATCGGGCGTGGTATACGGTATACTGGGAAATGGAGGAAATAGAGAAATACAGTAATACTGGTCAACATCATCGGTTTTTAGGATAAATTTGGTCAGAAGATTGTAAAAGTAAAGCTAAGATTTACAAATTCAATCTTTTCAGTCTTATAGTATTCGTGTTTATGTAATTTTGTAAATTATTTTACCGCCTGTTGGGTTGTTTGTGTTCCACGGTTATCGTTCCAAAATGTTATTCATGTCATTCGACGCACCTTTCTGTAGAAATTCATCCGCAACAACCATCACGTTTTTATTGTGTGAAAATAAAACATAATATCGTTGTTTTGTAAAAGAATTAATTGTAGATACAATTGATGCAATTTCATTTTCAAGCTATAATTATTCATTGTGAGCGTTTTAAAAGAAATTGGTTTATAGCTATTGCTATTTTCTATTGCGGATGCATCCACTGACACATTCGGTCGCGTACATCCCTTGGCGATTTCACTTGGCCGATCGCTAGATGACGTTCGAGCTCCAAGAGCTCGACGTCATAAAAATGTTGGCCTTATATTACAAATCATGGGATCTGTGCTTGTAGGTGCACTCAATGTTTTAAAGTTATTCATAATTTGAGAATTATTGTCTCTTTTTTTTATTGTCAGTATATTTAAACCAATATTTTTTGGTTTTACAAAATAATATGAATTTATATTTTCTTTTTTAAAAGAGATGATGCGAATTATAATTTCAATTTTAATTTTGTTTATATATTGTTGCTGTGATCTCAATAACCTAGATTAGAATGTTCTAATCATTAAAATGATATTGTCCTACGTTCCGTGTATTGGCAATTTATCAAAATAAGCAAGTTCGATAACTCGAACTGACTGCATTTTCTATGAACAATCCAGAGAGTTCCGAATTCAACATGGCGTGTAAAGGACAAGATAGGCTAAGACCCCTTTTTGGCCCCAGGTTTGGGGTGTTGTTTTAGAATGATACAACAGTTTATCAATAGAAACCTGTTGTCACCCCTGCCAGAAAATGAGTATTGGTTCTAAGTTATGTGATACATACAGGTCACAGGAAGATCAGAAAATATGTCAATTTCCGAATTTTCTCATTTTATGCAAATGTTCATCGATTTTACAGCACATTTTGTTTCAGAAAACATAGAGCACAAGCTTGCCTATCTACCAAATTTATATATTTCATATATATATTATTATAACAGTAACTTGATCCGAAGAGTCGTATCACGTCGAGTTGACAGGCACGGATCATCAGATCAAACGAGACGCGAAGCGTCGAGTTTGATCTGATGATCCGCGACTGTCAACGAGACGTGATACGGCTCTTCGGATCAAGTTACTGTTATAATGATAAATTTATTATATACCCCCTTACAACTAACAAGATATAGTTTTAAAAACTTCTGAGATTAATTATTTAATATTTTTCCATTAAACAAAGCATTCTGTCAAGAGACTTTTTGATGCGCAAGAAAAATAACGTCATGTTTCTATGTACTACGTCATCAATTTCAGAGAGGGCTGATATGGATTCAGAAAACCACAGTGTGGTGATCCGGAAAGTCGGATCACACCGTCACGTGATTGTACAAAATCTACAGTAAAATTGAGTGATACACTGTTGGTTATATAATAAATACTAGTATCAGATGCATCTTATGTATAAAAATCTCAGATAGGCAAGCTTGTGCTCTATGTTTCCCGAAGTGAAAAGTATATCAAATTTGAGGATATTCCAATAGAATTGAGAAAATTCAGGAAATTGTCCTACTTCTGCACCCTCTTCTGGTCTCCGTGTAAGCTTTGAATCAAAATTAGTGCTGGTTTTAAAACAAGCATCATTTTTAGTTCTTAACTACAAACTATCACTATTTTAACTATGTTCTGATTTTTACATCAAATAAGGGGCCAGATTCTGCCGTTACCATACCTTGTCCTTTGAAGTGAGGAAAAAAGGTTGAGAAAATGAGTTGAATTTTCTTATTTCTATGGATTATTTTTTAGGTTAAAAGGCATATAAAATCTCAAAAAGGTTTGTTATGATTAATTTGATAGTTATTTTCAGTGCAATTTTTTTTGTATTCTTCAAAATCATTTCTGAGCGGATCCTTTCCAATATGCTACATTGCTAGTATATGGGACATATTCTAACTGTGGTGATCGAGGGCTTGTTCCGAGACAAAGTTAGATTGTTCTAACTAGAAATAACCCAACACATATATCTTGTAAGTCGAACACATGTATTTCGCAAATTCAATAAATAATTCCAAAAAAAAGAAGAAATCTTGTAAAAAGGTATTCCATAGAGAAAATTACCCAGAAAACGTTGTAGCATAACAAACACTGACATATACTCGAACAAAACTTAAGTTAAGTATGAAAAATAATCAGATAATGGGTCAAAATCACACCAGTGACCACCTACCCTAATCAACTGTTATCCACAAAAAAAAAATTATATACTTATATGTCAATCTACTTCCAAAATTACATGTTTTCCAAGATCTTACAAAATTATTTTTACAGTATGTCTCTTCAAATATTTGTTTTCCTGCTTAATAGTACTGATCATGCTGATCAGATGATAATGAGTGGGTGATATTAAGACAGTATGTCCTCATAAACTTTTAGTCCCAGACCTATGAACCAGTGATTCATTTTGAAAATGGTTATCATGGGTCCAAAGGACCCCCCTTAATGACAACAATGAGTCCCATGACAAAATCAGAGCATCCAAATCCAAGGGTCATATATTAGATATTACAGAGGAAATTCTGGTGAAATATAAAAAGTTATTTCATGAAAGAGCAAATGCTTTATTGTTGCTATGAGTAGTTTTATAATTTTACTATCAATTGTCCAAGTAAGAGTACATGATTTTGTGTCATAAATATAATATATTGTCAACTGTGCACTTTGGTTCTATTTTTAGATCGTACATACGATCTCACACATTGTAATGTATCAGTCATAAAATGCACAGAAGCAGAATGAAGCAAAGAAATTTTAAGAAGAAATGAAAAAACAGTCAGAAATAAAAATGATTAAATTTTAAACTTCTTAGCTTGTAAGGAAAAAAAAATGATACAGGTTACATGTATAGCTTTTACAAAGGTATAGTATTCGCTTCAGAAATGTTCCACAGTATAGACATAATCAGTGATAATCGAACTATGTTATCTAACTTTCAAATATTTTCTGATAATTGCTGGTTAATTGGCTGCAATTGTGAAATCTGACCTGTTGTTGGCAACCTTATATATACCTGTTAAAATTGTTCATGCATATCGCTTAGCACATGGATATGATGCAATCGGTCAAGTTTAAAATCGGATTATACCAAATAATACACGTTCTTCTATAAATTTATTGCGTCCATTGGGATGCACATTTATTAAAATAATGCGTCCTGAGCAAAATTTGTGCATAATTTACGCAGGATGCACACCAAAATGAATCATTGATGAACACCATATTTTTTTAGCGCAACATACAAAGAACTATGTAGCAACCTATGATCTACAGCACATGTAATTTTCATAATGCTAGCTCACATCATAAGGAATACATGTATGACTAGCTGCTTGCATGGCGCAGTGGTTTAAGTGTTTGCTTTAGAGTCACAGATAAAGGAGTTGATCCTAACATCACAGGTTCGAATCCCACTGCAGGATGTGGAGACCAGTGTTCAAATGAAATTGAGGTCCCATGTTGTAGTAGGTGCTGGCATGAACAAAATTACTCATTGCTCAAGGGTACTGAGTACAGAGGTTCTCAAGTGCTGGCTTTTCAATATGAGTGAAAAGTTATCGAAAGAAACATTATAGAAACAAATAAATATGACTATAAATAATTATCTTTTCTTACCATTATGGATGTTGTACATGTCCCTTTCGATAATGAAAAAAATCTTTTTCTGTCAACTTCTCATTTTCTCACGCGATTTTTTCTTGCTAATCTTCTCTCCAACATACCGGAGAAGGTATTCTCGCATGTTATGTGGTACCGAACACACTATAATAAAAATAAATGCATAAATGCAAACAAGTCAACAAAATCTAATTTATTCAGAGACTTGGTTTAAAATGTCTCAGACTGTCATAAATCTCACCCTAGGCAGTTAAAAATTTCCTCAGAAATCTTGTCAGAATTTTAAAAATATAATTTCAAAAAAAAATTCATGGGAAAATATACAGCATATATATAGCCACTGTACAAAATGCAGGAATTAAACTTTCCTGGAAAGTTTAGAAATTGAAATTGTAAAAATATTATCATACCATCAAACCATGTCCATGCTGATCAAAAGACTCAACAATGTATTAACTAACCCGATCAAAATTAAACTGAACCCGACCGAAAGTTTCTAATCTACATATGTAGATATACAAGTAATATATGTAGACTCTGCATAACAATTTTATTAAAATAAAAAAAATTATTGCTTGTTATATGGTTTTATAACTAAATTGAGAGTGTAAGCAAGTTAATTTCTCCATGGCAACTGCATAAGATAAACAGTATTTTTTTTCATTATACATGTTATATGTTAAAAAAAAATGCTTAAATTGACCAGGATCTGTTTCATATGAATCAGGACTTGTTCAAGCTTGACAATGACAACAAGCAATTTTTCTTAGGGTCTCTTTTATTATTTAATTTCAACTTCTTTCTGAAATTATGATTATCTTCTAATATTTCTTTTCAAAATGAAACACTTAATAGGTTTATAAATAAATGAAACATTAAAAAAAAAATCAATAAATACAGGCCCGTAAGAAGCAATTTCAGTTTGGGGGAGGGGGGACAGCCATGCATTTTCTTTGGGGGGCACTTACAACCAAAAATTCCTTGACAAGCTTAAAAAAAAAAGGTCATCAGGCGTTTTTATTGAGGGGGCACAAGCATATAGTAGCTATGTTTTCTTTAGTATTCTATATTTCGGCAAAATTATTGGGAGCACCCCCCCCCCGTTCCTACGGCCATGAAATAAAGTTTTACATGATTGTTAAGTAATAAAGACAATGCAATAAATTCTGCAAAGTAATTCAAATAGTTGAGGTAATTCTTACTTATGTGTAGACTGATTTACTAGTACTTTCATAATTATAAATATATTCTCCCATAAAATTAGAATAAATTCATGATAAAGGAAATAATTTACCCTGAACATGTTGAACATGCAATACATTTTTGAGTCATTTAAGTTGTTAAAGACAAAATTCTCATTTGCCCAATTAAATTTGAGATACATGTACTAATTAAGTGACCTGTAAAGGTACTTGTAGATCTCTAATAAAATCTGAGAAATTAAATCAGCAGTGCTGTAGATCGAAACTCTTTAACGGTGGTGATGTTAACTGAGTCTACTATTATAGAAAAAATATTGCAAGAATTATACAGTATATCTTTTGTTACTCAATCATGGAAAGTGTAATACATATAACTATTAACTGATATGCTCATCTCTGATATAACCTAGTTGTTATAATTAATCCTCCATTCATGCCAAAAGGTACAGTGTAATAGATTGTTTAGAATATCATTGGCGTATAATAATATTATTACTTTCTACTACATGTAATGTGTCGGCTAGTGTGATGTCACAGATTTAACTTGAGGCGCAAATAATGGGTAAGCAAGGAGGCTGATGCAGACCTAATATAATACTTGAATTTTGGCTTAATTTTTATTTCCAGTTATAGGAATATTTTTGTCATTAAACAGAAAGTTAGACTGTAAGTATGGGTACAAAAATGTGCATTGTCAAAAATGCTTCTTTTTTTTTTTGCATTTGCAACAAAATGAAATTAATAGATAACATTTATCATCAACTTTCACCCCCCCCCCCTTTTCAACCAAATTTCTATCCTTAAAAAAATGATGTGTAGCCTACAGCCTTTTTGCCTATATGGAATATACACCACAAAATATTTCCACACATCCTGCATCCAAACCCCACTTCTAACCCGATCAAAAATATTAATCTGGTCCCTTTGAATTTTTTAGCAGTTTGTAGCCCTTAATTCCTCTTTATTTTTGAAGATATTTCAAAATTGTTGCTATATTGGGCTTGTCCAAATCAACTTTATGTTTTATGTACAAGAAATCTAAGGGGGATGCTGTCAGATACATAAATTTGTATGTACATATATGCATATATGTATCCGCTGCCATAGACATCAGAGATGTGGTATCGTGGTTGGAGGGGGGGGGGGGGCTCCTCCCCTCCCCCAATTAATCTTTTACTATTAAAATTGTTCAGGAAAGGCTGGTTGGATTAGGCTGTGAAAAAAGTTTGAACCTAGAAACACCTTACTCCCATTTCCAACCCAACCCTACCCCACATATAATAGGAAATTAGAGTTAGTATTTCAGGTAAATTAACGAATATTTAATTTATCTCCGCAAGAACGATACCACCAGCCTAATATTATGCTATTCAGTATATATTTATGAATAAGCAGAGATTACAATTATTTTGTTCAAGTACATGTAATCAATTGTTAGGAACAAGTAAATTGTAAGAACTTGTTTCCGATCCATTTGCTTATGTTAATAAAATATGTTCAAAACAAACAAACGATCTGTTGAAACCACGCTGTTGGTAAACTACAATTCGAATTTCCTCCATGCTAATAAGTATACGTAAGTCTTTATCAATGAATAAATACCAGACGTTAACCGCAAGATATTGGGTGCATAATATATAGTCAATATATCATGAATAAGTATTTTAAAAAATCATAATTTGTTATTACTTACCAAAATTTTGTCTGACTCCTATTTCTCCGAAGGTCGTAAAGGATACCGAGGATTTCCGAAAATTTTCGGAAGGCATTGCGCACGAAAACCTTGAAGTTGATGAACACGAAACTCTAAAGCTCATTTTCTCGTAAAAAGTTTTATTCTATTTAGCAAATTGTACATACCCAAAATTAGTGGGAGAACAATATCTAAAACTAAATACTAGGAGAAATAAGACATATATAGCAGATCTTATTTAATTTTGCAAGTTTTAGCTGGTCTACATAATGACGATATATAATAATACCAATATATACGTTGCTTGAAATTTAAATTTAAAAATTTCTATAATCATAAAATTTTGGCATATTTTTTGTATTTAAGGGACAAAAATATACTAAACTAAAATTAACTATTGTCAATTTAATATTAAAAAGTCATTAATTTTCTGTTCAGAGAGGGTCAAAATGTTAAGGCGACCGGTTTTGGTCCACTTATTCTACGAGGCTACTTAATGCCAATATATAAATATGAGCGGTCTCCTAAATGGCACAACCATATATATATATATATATATATATATATATATATATATATATATATATATATATATATATAATGTTTTTCATTTGGAACCTTGAAAAAATTAATAATTCTTGTTATTCTATACTTCATTTAATATCAGGATAAAACCATAAATTATTCTTATATAATCAATAATTAATTTTACAATTGATAAAATAACTTGATTTTTTTTTTATTTACAAGATCAGAAACACATTATAAAATATTTTATTCGGCTCATTTCTTTGATATTTAAAAACAGACTAAAGTCTACCTGTAAATAGATTCATTTGCACCCCATTCCCACTTAGCCAACACAGCTTTACCTGTATTTTTTCAGAATGTTGGCTAAGTGGCAAGACAGTAGATTTTGGACATCTTGAGTATTGGGGCTCTCCAGGTAAATAACACCAGTACTACATGTACATGTACCCCCCTTTCCACAGGTAACCGTAAGGTAAAATAATTAGGTCTTTAAAGATTCATTAACTAAAATATAATGTTGGTGTAGTATTCTACCTTTAAATGACTACATTACGGATGAACACTGTGAATCTTTCTTTGTTAGTGTAGACTCAAAAGTTAATAAAAATGTTTATGTTACTATTACCTCGTGCAAACAAGAGATCCACTGTTGTTTTGCTTTTAAAATCACCTTGTTGCTATGGGATTCCTCCATATATCTGTTATGCATTTTGGGTGACCAAAGGGAAAATTCAATTAAATCCCTTTTTAAAGCACACACTTTATTGATATATCCTTTTGAAATTGTGAATATTTTGTTTCACTAGCATATTCTGAATTTCTCTAGCAGTATATGTTTTTTTTTTTATTCTAGTAAATCACATCGAAAGAAAAATTTAAAATTATTTAAAACGAAAGTAGCAGTGCTTTTCATATTGGAGAGAGGCTCCCAATGGGGATCACCAAAAAGTAAATATATATTGGAAATTGTCAGCTAGACAATGATAATCAAGTATCGATATAACTTCCCTGTGATGAAATTTTAGCAACAAGAGGCCCAAAGGCCTGAACGGTAACATGAGTATAATGAAACCCTGTTAAGGATCCACATAATGATTATAAAATTTAGCAAAATAAATTGTTAGAGGTATATTTATTGCTCAAATACAATAGAAACAGGGCAACTGGGGATCAACAATGTGGTTAGTGTGGTAATTTGCAACAACTCCTGAAGGTGCATCTTTTTTGCCTATGTCTGCCAGAATTGCTTAAACTACAATTTGTCATTAGCACCAATCGTATCAATGAAATAGTGTTTTTGCAAATAAATATATATATATAACTCAGCCAGAATCGGCTACTCAAATGACTTCTTCTGACCTTTTTAATAATATTTAAAAGTTATTTTGTTTACAAGTCAACCTGACCTTCAAAAAGTATGTAATTAATATGTAATTTTTGATTTAAACCTTTACAATTCTCATGTAAATGACATATTATTTACATAAGTTCCAAAGATAAATTATCTTATGTGAATAATCAAAGGGGAAAGGCATCTTTCAAGGTACAGTAAACATTCTGAAAAAGGTACTTTTTTCATCTTTCAAGGTACAGTAAAAATTCTTTTAAAAAGGAACAAAAGAAGCCTGGCCTAAAATCAGAATCCCTAATCAAGAGACCATGAATTTCACAAATCTGTTTTTAAAAAAAAATTTTCCTAATTACAACTTTGTAGTTTATTAGCATGCTATAGATGTCCAGGAGCAGAGAAGAAACTTTTCAAAACAAGAAGCTTATAGGTTACAACGCTCAAATGTGTCACGTTGGCCTTGATTTATAAAAACTCTTTCTCCATCCCTGAGTATACAATCTTGACTGAGTTTGAGCCCAAGCGGATTATGATAAATGAACTTTTGTCCACACACCATGGACATGCTTAATATGACTAAAATGACACTACTGTTCTGGAATTTTTTTTTTCAGAATAATTCCTCTGTTCATGCATCATGTAAAATTTTAAGTCCAACCAGTATCCATGATTTGAGAAAAAAAAATCAACCCATGCGTTTGCATATACATGTAATATGATTTCGTGTGGCAATGTTACTCTTGAAATATTTATTTTTTCTTTTCCATGCATTCACATGTCAAAGATTCGCCCCCCCCCCCCCCAATGTGGCCTAACTCTACTATTCTAAATTAATACATTTTCACTATGTGATCAAGGAAACCCCGCCCAAACACCCGAAATCCTCCTAATGGGCATAAATTTTATAATATAGGTATAGAGGCATATTGCTCATCATTACCATGCACTTATATTGCCAGATACCCAAGAGCAGGGGGGGGGGATTTTAAAAAGAATTGCATTTTCACTATATGATCAACATTCAATAACGTCAAGGTTGACGTCAATTATTTTTACTCTTTTTCAAAGTACACACCTTTTAGGTAAATACATTTCTGATGTTTTAAACTTTTTTGGTATACGAAGCACAGGCAAAACCTGTTTTTATCTGGAGTCTTAATAGCGCATACTCTTTCCATGTTGATGTTTTCTTGTAAATATCAATTGAACTGTTGAAATTGAGCAATTTACTAACTATAAGTCTTTTATCGTTGTGCTTTCATCATTTACTGCGTCGCGTATGACGCCAATACGGTAGCGCCAATTTCCTGAGGTCTTTCATCATCTTCTATGAATTCTCTTTTTTCCCTAAATCGTTTATGTTACTTGTAAGCTACAGCCAGGGAAACATGAAAGGCATCCCCAGCCATCCCCATCATCTGGATAGGTTCTTGTAGTGTCTTCCCTAGGAAGAAACAGGATTTGATAGCAGCCTTTGCTCCCGACGTCATTTTGATATGGCTTTTAGAATCACCTGTTTCTTTATAACCAAGTGTCCGAACGACTTCAAAATTAGAGAATATGACATCATTCCGTCATTGAAGATGATACCATAGTGACGATATATTTAACGCCCTAATAAAAAAATCTATTGCCTGTCAATTTGAGTATTTAAAAAAAAAGTAGTGCATTTTACCTTCTGCGCCGCAATGAGTCATAACATAGAATTAAATATTTTTTTTTTCAGTCATTTCATTTATATTTATAGATTTCATTGATAGAATATTGAAAGGGCACTATTACGCAATCTAAATATATCGCGATCGTCTACGAATTCATCGAACAACCCTCGAATTTTCAGACGTAATGAAATACTGATATCTGTAGTTTCTTCACGCAAATAAGATCTCACAAACTTGGCAATTCTTACTAAGCCCTAGCTGTCCCTAAACTAAAATTTGTGTTTTGTAATTTTGGTTTGATACGGTTCCAGAACTTTGGATTATCTGTTATCTTATACTAAGTTATAATCAGAATATGTACTGTGACATCACATTATACTCAAACTAAACGTATGTTTACATCACAAAAATGTACTTTTTCATCAAGTACTCTTTGGAGAGAGAGTTTTAGGGATAATATTTTCTATGCATGCTACATAATACCTTCTTTTCTAATGTGGACTGGTTCAATGTTTAACATTCTCAAACTTTTAACTCGAACCTGTAATCAGCCCTTTCAAACAATTTATTTCTCTAGCAGAGGCTCATAGAAAAGTTCCCCAAGTCTCTCTGTGATGTCTTTGATGAAGCCATACGGATTTCCTAGGACATTGAGACAAAAAAATACCACATAGATCTGACGCAAGATCTGCTGGCGGTAGTGAGAGAAGGTCTGGGTCTGCATTAATTGGAAAGAGAGGAGGACACCTCGTCTCTCAAACCCAGTCTGTCAATATGATAGGAAATTATAGAATACAGGAATTATATTTAATTTAGATCCCCAGACTTTCGATAAAATGGAAGGGACTCAGGATTCCCATGTATTCTAAAAAATCCAGTGAGTGAATACGATGATTATAGAAATCATAATTTTTTTAAGTAGCAATCATTGTATGAATTTGGAAAATAATTTACAAATCTTATGTCTCATTGAAGAAAGTATAATGGACACCACAGTACTATAAAGTTAAAAATGCTAAAATTTACACTATACATGTAGTTTTCAAGATCTACTTAAAGCAACTATTATTTCAAACTTCTTCAATTCTGGACTGGTCTGTTTGAAACTTTGCTATCTCTAAATATTAATTTTTCTTAGAATGATAAAACATTCTGCATAAATGTCATCAATGGTTCATGGCAAAAAAATAAAAAAATCCTTGGCTCGTAAAGAGTATAAGGAAACTTGCATATATTGCAAATAAAAGCTGATAATATAAAGAGTAATCATCTGTTGTTGTTTTTTTTTTCAAGTGATAACTATTATATTTTTCTTGAGTTCAATGTTCTTGACCTCTGTGAAGGTCACTCCAATTGAACAGTGGAGGAATCCTTTGATGTCAGATGCAACACTTGGCTGGATCTCGAATCAGATTGGGGTTCCCCCGCAGAGAAAAACTCACATGGACTTCTCAGCATAATGTTGTAATAAGAAACTTAGCAATAATCAAAATTAAACTCCTATATTATTCTTATCAATATAATATGCTCAAAAGCCCGTTTAAACAAAACAAATTGAGAGCAAAGCAATCACGGTCCTATGTTAATATTAGAAATAGGATCAGGTGCCACGGAGAAGGAATCATCCTCTCTCGACTAGTCACAATTGCTGTGAGCCCTTTGTCTTGATAATGAGTCATACAAGAGGCCCAAGAAAAATCAAATCTGACATTGGCTTATTTATTTCAGTTAGGCTTTGTCAAAAGTGTTAAAGATGGTAATGAAAAGGCTCAAATAGTTAATGAATGGTTTTGCAAAACTTTCTTACATTTTTCAAAAAGGTTGCTTCTTGAATGACGTGTACTCCAAGAAATCCAAATGGCGGAGTCGTTAGCAAGGGTAAATAAAACAAGTACAATTATATTGATGAAAGAAAGCAAGCATAGCTAGAATAATATCTGAAAGCAAAACCAGAATACATGTATATTATGAACCTCAAAAATTCTTTCTGACTCTTAAAAGTTTACTTGAAAGGCTCATAATGACCTTGATTTTCAAAGTAAGCGGAAACACTGTATTATAAAATATAATTAATTCTCTCACTGAGACACTGTGCCCCTTGTAGAAATCAATTCAACTATAATTATGATATCTCATGTTTATCTTTTATCTCCGTTTTGAAACTCCTTGAGGCTTGGGATTCAATGTGTATGGAAATGATTTCCTGTATTATGTAGTCTTGTACATTTCACATATAAAAAATACTCTTTTGCTCGCATGAAATAAACAAAGAGGTTAAAATCTCTAGCTATTGTATAAACAGAAAAAAAATCTTGATTTTACTTGAAATCCAGGAAAAATGTTGACAATGTAAAAACTTTCTGTCAGTTGTCCAATGGTTTTTTTTATCTCTCACACTAAAGAGCTTACAATTATCAGAGGGAAATCATTCAATCTTTAAATGAATGCAAGTTATTTTAATCATAATTTTTTCTCACTTATAGATAGAATACCAACAATGTTTTTGAATGTCTATTAAAATTAGATGTTATTTTTATTATTTCTGCTAGTAACATAAATTGAGGAAGCTGCATTCCATTCAATAACATTCCCAAAAATTACACTTTTTCCAGAAGAAGCAACTTTATACACCGCTTCCATGGTAACTACGCAATATTCATATAATCTTACAATGTTTTTGGAGTAGTTTATGTAGCAGTTGCTGAAAGCAGAAAAGTGCTGAAACTCAGAGCGAAAAATTACCACCCGACATTTTTTTTTGATTTGTTCAGTGTTTCTACCATTTGTGTTTTATACTTTCAGATGCCATAAGTTGTCTACAAAATAGAAATCCATAGATACACATCTCGTTATGAAGGTAATTTAATTGATTGTGGGTACCTTGATGTTGATTAAATAATATGTTTCATATAGACAATCTGATGCGTTGAGGTCTAAGCAGAATGATTTTGGTCAACCCAGCTTTGAATGACTTAAATTTTGTTGAAGTAAGTGAACTCTGTTGTTCGGCGACTCCACAGTGATAGTTTTAATTACGGTAAACCGACTTCTGACCACTGTGACCAAAATTCGCCATACAATAAACAATATACTTTTACATGTGTTTTAATTCTGAACAATGCATACGTTGCATATGTTGAATATAAATACAAGCAAAGGGCCTATTGGTCTCTGTGCTTGGATAAGGCATTATTGTCTTTGATAATTGATAATATGTGTCCATTGATATAATGAATAGATCACCAACGCTGGACTTAAGGCGTATTTACACTGTATGATTTGTCAGATATGACTCGCCACATCTTACAAATCATACCGTGTAAATAATCAACATTGGGGTATTCATAAGCCAGGTATGAAGTCAGATGAGGTCAGATTTCTGACTCAATTGTTTCATTTACATTGTGTGATTTATCAGATATGTAGTTCATTAATATTTCCCTCCAAATTTCTTGTTTTTAATTTAACAATGGAAAACGGAAATTTAATTACTATCTTTCCGTCTCCTAATGATAGCAGCAATGTACCCCCGTAATTTGGCCATGTTACATATCACATGGCTCTATTCTCTCTGGCAAGTCAGATTGTTTCAACCAATCATAGGAAAGGTCAGAAAAGTTGATCTGAATTAGGTACAATTAACATGGGGGTATTCTAGAACTTTTGCTCCAGCTTAATTTTAAGACTAATGTGATATATAACATGGCCAAATCTAGGGGGTGTGAGTTTTCTCATTTATCAGATTAAAATATATTTCGAGCAATTTGGTCATGGAATTTCAACATGAAAATTAAGGTACTCTAAGATAATGAAAACACAGAGAATATGTTTTTATTCATGCTTGAATAAAATCTTGATTTGAAATATGGCAGAAATATTAATCAAATACCATATAAAAATATATAAACTTGTAAAACATCTTAAGTACAGTAAGCTATATAATCACAAAAGTTGTTAAAAGCAAATATGCATTTACACTTACATGTAATACACTACTGTACACTCCTACACAATTTGATTGTTTAGTTATATCCTCATTACATAAACGTCGTGAAAATGGAAATTTCATAATTTATACGGCAAAGCTATTTGTTTTTAACTCAATTAAATATCACAACGTCAGCGGACGTAAATACATATATTCACAAGTGTATCAATCTCTATAAACAACCTCTAAAATATGAAACCAGAAAATGATAAAAAGAATATTGCAAAACAATTACAGTTTGTATCTATGCGTGAGTAAATCTTTCCGAAATAAATAAAAATTAAAATAATGCAGATGTAGAGGGATATCGACGATCAAATAATTGCACAGAAACATAACAAGCAATATTGTAAAGTACTTCGAAGCCTAAAAGATCATATTTTCAATCCTTAAGTAATTTAAAAAGAAATGATCATTACTTCTGATGGAGAAACTTTAAAATTCATAATTTTACTATACGTAGTTCGTTTAGTATGATAATGTGGTTGCCTTTGTCAACAGATGCTTCATCACCGCTGCTTCAGTTTAAAATTAGCTTTTCGTTATAGACTTCCTGTAACATAGTCTGGCTTTTTACTCTCAATGCCAGGCCTCCAAAATCTTGTTGATTTAATCTTAGAAAAGAAAGTTTATCTGAGGGCTGAAAATGTTAAAAAGATAAGAATTTTACATTGAACACTGAGTCATCTAAACAAAAACAATTAGGCGTATTTGAAATAATGTGACATAATCTTTAAATTATTTTGTATCGATGATTACAATTATGTAGAGAATGATTTGAATTCTTGAAAAGGAGACCGATGATGCAGATATTTACAAAAATAATATCTTTTACTTCACTTCTATGTTGTCCCTAACAGTAGGTTAAAGAACTTATAATTCACCGATTACGTCTTAATTATTTATCAAATATAAATTGAGTTAAAATCATATGTTGTAATTCTGTCAAAACGACAAACATATTTCACGGATTATTTTTATCAATGGTTTCTTTTAATAAAGATAAGCAGCCATTTACAAAACTCGGTTAAACTAGCCTCTGTCAGTTTTGAAAACACCCCCCCCCCCAAAAAAAAAAAGGGAAAAAAAAGAAAATAGATATGAAAAATTCAAAACAGTCAGAAAATCGAATTATATAAAATGTGGCGTAATTAATTCATTTACTGCAAAATAGAATCCTGGCAATCTTTTTTGAAATAGGGTTACAGCACGGAAAGATTGTTATAAACTATTAATAATTTAGTGTGTTTTTCTTTCTTTATTTGTTTTTTTTTTTTTTTTTTGTTTTTTTTTTTTTTTTTGGCTGTTGTTTTCGTTTTGTTTTTTTTTTTTTTGTTTTTTTGTTTGATTGTTTTTGGTATTCTTTCAAAGAAAATGTAAAAAAAAAAATATTTGCAAAGATGCTTTAGAGTTTAAAATTTGATATTAATAAATTCATAATATAAATATATAACAAAAATGTCCAGAAGATACAGATAGCCGTAAAATTCTCTTTTTAATAAAAGATAATTTTTGAATAGATGTATAAAAATTTAATTTATTTATATTTTTGAAACCTTTAGATGAAACAAAGAAATGTCAACTATTCTGTGAAAAAAATTAGATGAAATGAAGGAATTAAAGGAAATGAAAAAAAATCATATTTCCATTTGGATTACTCAGTAAATAATTATATGGCATTCCTCCTGAATGTAGTATTAACATTGCACAGTCGTATTACGATGATCGGAGTTGTTATATATTGTACACATTTCGCCAAAGCTTTATAATGTCACCGATATAATTTGACAGCTAAAAATTATATATATATATATATATATATATATAGATATAGATAGATATATATATATATATATATATATATATATATATATATATATATATATATATATATATATATATATATATATATATATATATATATATATAATTTTTACTATGTGGTAATTTTATGGAAAAAAGAGCTAATTTTTTTTTTTTTTTTTTTTTTTTTTTTTTTGCTAGCGAGCGAAATGTTATGTCAGTTAAATGTCGTGGTGCCAAGTATTGAACGTTACACGTTTACTTACTTGTTTTGTATGTTCCATCACCTTTATGATCTCATTTTGTAGAGCTCCATTACTCAACCTCAGTATTACCTACAAAATAGCTTTATGCATATACAAGAAAAAAAATTAATTTTTTGAAAATACATTTACAATTTTAATAAAGGAAGAACACAAATTATCCAATTTCTAATTTCAAGGTATATTAAAATAGAGAAATGAGGTAGAACCTAATTAAATAGCTTTAAAAAATATACCTTTGTATCTTCAAAGTTAAATTCATTCTTGCAAAATGAAATTCAAAGTTTGGATATTAAAAAAAATGTTAAGATGACGACACAAACTAAATTACTATTTTCATTTAATTCAAATCACAAAATCACAGTTTTCTGTAGGTTACGTTGAAAGTTATTTCTTTCTGTTTAGTGTACAATTTTTGTTCTTTGTTTGTTTGTTTCTTGTTTTGTTGTTGTTGTTGTTGTTTTTTGTTTTTTTTTATTTTTTTTTTTGGGGGGGGGGGGAGGGAGTAGTGGTTGTTTTTGTTTTTTTTGCTTTTGTTTTTGTTTTTTTTTTCTTTTTTGTTTTGTTTTGTTTGTCAACAGAGTGAAAAAAATAAGTTGATATCATAATAATGCATAAAATTCAAAATAAAATCGTACATAGTTTATGTGTTTTATATTTTTTTTGATATTTTGTGCTTTAAACAGTTACTTGTTAAATGGTCACCTTGAGTGTCCGTTCAAAATATCAGCTGAGATAAGTGTTCTAAAATTAAACGTTCGTAATTGATATCCAAAATCGTTATACGTACATACAGTTCGATCATCTGACACTGCACCGGTACTACAACATATTCTTTCATTTTTATTTGTATGCAAAGCATTGTTTGATTACATTGTTAATTTCATTATTCCGTTAAAATAATCGATTGAAATGGAATTATAAAAGATAAGAACAATTTAGAATTTTTTTTTTCGTTTGTGGGGGTTTCTGGGGGTTTTGTTTGTTTGTTTGGTTGTTTGTTTGTTTTTGGTGTTGGCCTCAACGGTTTATTCTCAAGCGTAGATTTTTTTTTGGTGTAATACACATTTTTTTTTTCAGAATGACGCGAGTGAATAAAAATGTCACCTGAGTCAAATCTCGTCCTTTTTTCTCGAGATCATTTTTATCTAATTTTCTTGTTCCATCATTTTCATGGACGACTTGGTTTCTGTACATCCGGATTCTTTCCACGTCATCGGCCTGGGTTAGATGGTTTACATCAGGAGTCTTTCCCCATCCATTAGTGGGTGATGGGAGACTAGGAGTGCGATTCCGCAGCATCTGATACATCATCGTCACATCAAATGAGGAAGATGATGGGTCCGATTTGTCAGCTACAAAAAATATGAGGATTAAAACAGCATTGAAAAGTAAGTACACAGAGTAAATTTAAATTTTACTCTAAACTGAAAAAAAGGTGATTAAAGGGATCGATGTCCCTTTTTTGCATCAGGGTAAGACTTCATATAAATGAATTACTCAATACTCATGAAGGAATGTTGCCTCTGATAATTAATCCTAAAAGTTTTGACCAGATATATTTTTAACAAAATGGCAATGTTTATTCAAAAGGGTGAATGTATTAAGTATTTACAAGGAAGAATCAGAAGAATTGCAAACATTTTTGCGGTAACTCGGTTACTTAATCTTTATTCACACACGAGAAATCACTGTTCACTTTTATGAAATAAATCAGTTAAAACTAACAAACATTAATCCTACATTGTTATGGAGGCGTCAAGTGAGTATAACATAAGTTAGTTACCTGGGAACAAACGATCAGACTGATCATCACTGAGACGAAATGTTTTCTTCACTCTGTCTGGTTTTGCAGACATTCTGATTTTGATGAGCTCTTGTTTTGGGAATATCGTATCAAAATAAATCTGCAGACCTTCCCTTCCAACAATTGTAAGTTTTTCAAATGTCTTGAAATGGAACTTTTTTAGTCCTTCTTCATAAAGTCGAGAAAACTGGTCTCCGGTGGAAACAGAGACTAACAAAATATGTATGATAAACTTTAATATACGAAACGCAAAAGAAACGCAACATCCTATTGGGGGGATATCACATATAGGATATAATTTTGTATCTTAAAAGTAAGGACATCTTCAACTTTGTCAATATTGGTAATTTAATGGTTGAATGATTTTTCATACCCTTAGCGGAAGTTAAGTTTCAGTCCGCTTGACAGAAATCAAAAATTGCATGTTTAACAAAACATTTGGCAATAATATGGGGTTTTAAGGGTTTGTATCTGTTCATCATAAGTAATGCAGCAATATTCCGAAAAATAAATCCTCCTTTCTTTTCCGTAAGCGATGCCAAGGCTGCCTGAAAATGACGTAAGTACGCATTTCCATTGCTCTAGCTGGAAAATCCCAAAATAAAGGTGATGAAGAGATGCAGATGCAAATATTCACTACATCACTCCTCAACAGGCTCTTATGTATCATTAGCATGAATGACAGTCCTTGGACCGGAAGTCCAAGGGTTACTACACCGCGCTAGGATAGAGAAAATTCGACCTCAGCATGTGAAAAACAGGCATTTAAATATGACAAAGAATATTTCTTTCGCTCAGATCTCGAGATTGATGAATCTATTGCATCGCAGAAATCAAGCTGCAATTGTTGTGCATGGCAGTCTTGCACGCTGTAATTGAATGGCCGGGTGGGGCGGTATTTTAACAGTCATGTCATACTTTCTAAAGTTAAAAGATAATCATTGAACATTTTTATCAAATCTCTGATGTTTTTAAATCGAGTTTTACCTCACTGTATTCATTTTTGAAAATCATTAGATACAAAAAATCATATTTGTAGATTACTGTTTATTGAGTTTCTTTTGCGTTTCAGTATATAATGATAAGTATAATAGAAAGTTGGCGACAGTGAAACATGTTTGAGGTTGGCAAAAACTATTATACACAAGATCGAATAAGGAATATATGACATATATATTGATACAGAAATAGACGAAATACTACTGTATGAAACAAAATAACATGTCATATGAAACTCGATTTCTAATCACATGATCTGGCATTCATGTGATTTAAGCTATAGCATCGAGAATGTCATTTGACAAATTTCAATATTGCTGAGTCATACACTTATCCCATATGATACAGATATCTTTGCCTAAACAATGATTGTTTTCACTGGATTAGACGCTGTAATAAAAATATATGATGCAGGACTCTGTCAGTGTTGAAGAAGTCACATATTACTTTTACATTTTTCCCCAATTTTATACATATTGGTTTCAGAAACATAAACAATTTTGCATAATAATATATTTCCAGTTTATATAAGAAAAATGTTGATATATGTATTTAAGAGGACTTTCAAATTTTCTTATCAACTATTTAAACAGAAACGGAAATAAAATTGGATTGATAACGACTATACATTCCATGCTAAATTTAGATAAAAAATATTCATAGCAAATTTGCATGAAACCTTGGACTTACAGACAACTTGAAACTAAGCAAAAAAGAAAAAAGAACGAATTAAAAAAACACAAACCTGGCTTTTCAATTTCAACATCCTGAAATGTATCGAAAAAGATATGCAAATAACAAATCATTAAAAAGAACATTTAAATTGAATAAATTTTGCATTTCTTAAGAAGAAATTGTCTAGATGAGAAGAAAAGTTTTATCTAAGTTATACTTTACCGGCTTCCAGTAACCAAGAAGATCCGACTCACGGATAATATGGTGATTTTTCATATGATGTCTAGGACAAGTTATATTTCCTTTTCCTGTTAGTTCGATTTCAGCAACAAAATACCAATCATAATCACTAAATACTTCTTGTTTTGAACATTTGTATCCTACTGTGAACATTATCCTCCTGTGAAAAGTTTTTGTGAGATCATTCAGCAAGCGGTCAATAGTACTACGTACTTCTAATGTAACTTCTTTTGTGAGGAGATCATTGTTCGGTTTAAAAACCTGAAGCTGTATGGAGTATCTATTTACTGCAAGCGCAACACTGCGTTGTTTGTAAGAAAAACAGGCTATGTCTTTAAACAAGCATAAACCATTGTCCTCCAAAACTTTCCATTCTCCACTGGTTCTTGTTAAACAAGCAACAATAAGTCGAAAGTAAAAGAAATAGGGTAAAAACTCGAATCGGTAGACCAGCACAGATGTTTTCTGCTGATAGCTCAGCAATTCAGAAGCGGAATTGAATGAATGTTTGTTTACACATGGTATGTAATGTGATTTTTTACCCACTGCAATAAGTCCAAGGCGTTGCATGTATTCTAAGAGTATGTCTGCAGTATTAAAAAAGTATGCAGGCTCAAACCAATAAAAAAAAAACATTCCGTAATTTCTACTCATCCAAATGTTTTTAAAAAGCTTATCAGAGAGATGTCCATTTTGGTTGAATTCACGCCAATCGGTGTGATCCTCAGCAATATCTCTGACGTGATTTCGGTCCGTGATTATGTTTTTGAAGGAATCAACAAACCAGTGGATGTCGATGATAGCGCTGTCAAAAAGATGATTCTCATTGAAGTGCAGAATAATCCCCATGTCATGAAAAAGTTTCAAAATATCTTTAATTTGCGATTTTTTTTCTTCATTAGATCCAAAACATTTTTCTGCTAATTGTTTAACATCCATTATTCTTGTAAATTTCCTATCATATGACTCTGCAATATTTCTTGTTTTGATTTCTCCCAAGATAATTTCGCAGATGGCCCAGTCAGTCGGAATTGTTTCCTTCCATCTATCTTCTTTTGCAATTGATCAATGCATTTCTCAAGGTCTGAAAGTGTGTCATGGAAAGGAATTCCCTCTTTCTGAAGACCCAGAACGAAACATCTCTCTCTGTTCAAGTGTGCCTTTAGACTTTTGTTGTCTTGTGGTATGTCTAATATAGCGTTGTATAATGTGTCTGAAGTCAATATCAGTATTAACCGTAATGTACATTATGATGTAAAACAATTTTCTACATATTTATGTCCATAAAAATACATGATTATCATAAAGAAAATGTAATCTGCAGTTCCTCAATATTTTACAAAGTTGCATCAAGCCTTTTATTGTATGCTGTCGATGCAATCAAGACAAACTTCTTTAATTGATTTATGGAGATAACGAAGAGTATTCAAGCTTAATAGTCCATTGAAACAATGCAATTCGGTAGCAGAGCAAACACAGATTTCTAAAAGCATCAGATGCTGGATCAGGTGCCATGGCGGAGTAAAAAGGCAATGGAAAAATAAAATTTGTTTAATGTTTCACCTCTTCATTGATGAACAATATACTAAAAGCTGTTATGTTCCTAAAATCAAATATTTGTCAGCAAAAGTCCGCCAATTCTCGATGAATTGTGGTAAAATTAAAATAGAAAAGAGGTCAGTTTCATTCTTTATCCTTTAATGTGTTTTGATAGCAATGCCAAATACTATTTCTGTTCAGAAGCCTATTTTGTCAGCTAAAAATTGCATTAATCATTTAAAAAAGTCTGCAGGAAAAAAAATCATGCTCTGGCCTTCAATTGGACATTGAGCTTTTTCCACGATTTTTCAACATCATTTTATCAGTTAGCAACTTACATATAATTGATGTAGCGAAGCTTGTTTTGTTTGTTTTAGATCAACATCTATGCAAATTCTATTATTGTTTTCATGACCCTGATTGCAAATACAACCTGTTGATGGGTCCTACATTGACGTTCATGTTTCATATCTATTCTTTAGGTCATTGTTTTATACTGTAGATCTTTTCACAACAACAAGTTTTTGCGCAAGATTTGAACTTAAGAATCTCTTACAAAATACTTAAGTGCTTCTCACGAAGGAATTTTAGCTAATTGAAGTCTGCATTTTACTTACGACATTTTTCCTAGCAATAATCTCAGTAAGCTTTATATTCCTTAGGTGGATGAGAATAAAAATGAAGCGAAATTTTCAACACTTGTAAGTGACACAAATATTAGGGACAACAAAAATCAAGTGTAATCGATTGTTAAGTAAAGAAGCTAGAAATCTTACGTCACAATCATTGGTATGACATAAAAGTAGATCATTCAAAAATCTTAGAGAAACTGCCATCGTTAGTATTTTGCAGTATACAAATGTATTTCTTTTTTTTTTTCGACAATAATTTAGAAATAATATACAATGATCTTGTATAATATGCAAAAAAGTTCTATTAAATGTGTACGTATGTTTTTAGCGGTTTTATTTCAAAATCAACTTTATGGCTTTAGGAAAGATAAGAAGCTCTGATCTGAAGTTTCGTGAAAAGGAATAAAATTTCTCTTACGAAGAAAATTAATTGAACATTTTATTTGAAAAGGTTACTTGCCTTGACTACGGATTACTTTGTTTATCTTATCAATACAGTAGACTCATGGAGGATGTGACCTGTTGAGAGGGAATTTGTTGTCCTTCTGGGCACTTGATTCCACATTATCTTTTATCGATTCTATGTTTTTTTTTCATTTAAGATGATAAATATTTTGAAAGTTTCGGCAATTACTCTCAAAAATCTTCATTATGGTGAATTGACAATGCATAACTTTTCCTATTTAAGATATTTACATTGTTATATTTCACTTTAATTAAATTTCAAGTATCCTGATTTATCATGTTAAAAAACCCATTTTTAATGTAAATGTAAATGCCAGTTCCTAATTTATCATTATTGACATATAATTAAAGAGTAAAATGAACAAAACTTATGAGAAAAAATACCAAAGATTGATTGATTAATTGTAGTAGCTTTTTCCATACGAGAATTCTTAATTCATATACAAATGTCACCATATACCGGTAAAGGACTTCAAATTTAGACCTATTATCGGCACTCAGGACAATGAATCATTGAGAGTTCTTTCTCGTGCTAACGTATATCATGACACGGGACCTCGGTTTTTAAGATCTTATCCAAACGGCTTTCACTTTTAGTGCTGGGTGTTT